ATATTTTTTAAACAAAATTCTGTACAAGTTTCTAAAGTTTTCTAAATGTGTACATATTTATGCAGCTGACTGTACCATCGTAAATAACCTTCGTAAATAACGAATATTGCGTATTCTATTAAAATATAAACATACATATTTAGTGTCAAATGATAACATTTGCTTGATCGTTGGCCCAATAACCTGGAATACATATGTACATATAAGATAGCAACACATTGCGAACTTGATCAATTTAATTTGTGTACACAAATCATAAAATTGTGTAATGAATGAGAAATTTATCGTCAGTTTCTCCTTACACAAACATATAGTCTCTGTTATTTTCAAGGGCAATGATTCATATGACATGTTTTCGTATTTGTATTCCAGTGGAAACCCATCGTAACAATTCAACGTGTCTACTAGACATTTTCTAAACTGCCGTTCCGGAGATACCTTTAAACAAACATCCATCCATCCATCCAACCATCAAAACTTTCGCATTTATAATATTAGTAAGAAGTAACATTTTCATGTAATATTTACTAAAGAAAATCCAGGGTCAAATTTTTACGCGTTATGACATTTTTTATCAGGTATCCAAATAATCTGATCTTAGTTAAATATTTTATTTAATGTTTGTGGTTTGTATGTTTATGACTTTATTTCTAGAAATTAAAATTTCGAGAATTTACAAGATTAAGAAGTATAGTGTATTCATACAAAACTTTGTATTCTCAAATCAAAGCCGATTTATCTCTTTCGTATTCTTTTTTTGTCTTTATCAAAATCGTAAATATTGGAATTTTAAGAAATAAATCGAATTAACATTTAAAAACTTAGGGCTAATACGCATTGCGCGGTTGCCGATTTCATACGTGAGAATACTCGTTGCGGTTAAGATGACCGTAACCGCGTCCGCATCCGCTCGTTTCCAAGCGTGAGTCTGCGGACGGATGCGTTCGAGCACCAAGAACGGATGATACTACTCATGTAGTGTTCTAAGCCCATCTGTCCCTTGTTTCAAGTTAGTCGTTAAAATGGTTATTTTATTCGCGGCAGGTCGGCTTGTCTTTCGCCGTCCGCAATAGCTTGCACAGTGGAAACGCGCTTTAGAGGTGCATGCCCTTAGGTTATTGGAAGCATAAATAAAATATGTTTTACAACTTATTTATTTAAATAAAAATATATACAACTTAAGAAAGTGTACGCATTTTGAATTATAATCTTGTAAGAAAACTATCAAGGTGATTCGGGTTAATTAAATATTTGCCTATCAATAAAAAATATGTATTTTTGGCACATACGTAATAAGTTTATAAATAAGCATAACTTCCGATATCTGAAGATTATGTTTCAAAAATATAATGACATATGTAAATTGTGTATGTACATTGACGTCAATCTTACTAATATTATAAACTAGCTGTCGCCCGCGACACCCTCCGCGTATAATTAAAAAAAACTATCGGTGGCAGCGTAATGTTATATAGCCTTCCTCTATAAATGGACTATCCAACAATTTTTTTTTTAATCGGATCAGTAGTTCCTGAGATTAGTGCGTTTAAACAAACAAACAAGCTCTTCCGCTTCTTAATTATAGTACAGATGTGAATGTTTGGATGGATGGATTTTTGTTAATGTCTCCAGAACGGCTATACGAATAGAAATTTGACATATAGCATACTTAATTAGTCTTTTTTAATTCCGCGCGGACAGACTCCTGGGCGACAGCTAGTATTTTAATAATTGGATACAAAAGCGTGTTTCATTTTTAATCAAAATATGACCTTCATTTGCATTGTACGTAATTATACTTATTTTGGGTAGCGAGTACAAGCATGTTTTTTATTAGTATGTTTATTTTTAGATATTTGTCACCCTCGATTGGTCAATGACCGTGGTATATTTAAAGTTCTCAAACGTACTCACCGTTATATCGTATTGCAGTAAAATTGAAAAAAAAAATCTGTAATTTGAGACGAACTTCACCAGGTTTTCATGTAATGCATATTTTGGCATTGCCCAGTGTCATTGACCTCTATTACATTTATAAAGATCAGTGCTCGGTGCGGATTAAGAAATAAAAAAAATATTTATTCTTATTATTAAATTATTTTACAAGATAAAAATTATCGGGCTATCACAAAAGTATTTAAAAAAAATATCGCTTATATTAGTCGCGGAAGAACATGAGGGGTGGCATTTTATATCTACTAGCTGCCGGCCGCAGATTCAGCCATGCAAAATTAAAAAATAAATAGTGTTAGGAAAAATTCGACACTGTGCCGGTGTACTGGCGCAACACTAGCTTTACTAAAATGATGACGTTTATGTTTCCTCACTAATCATTCCGACACTTAACTGTAATGAAAGCGCGCCATTCGCGCCAAAGGATTGTAACTAATAATGTCTAAAAATAGTAAGTATGCGCTAATCCTGAGAGTAATCTCTCTTTGTGACATCCCTTTCTTACAGTTACCCACTAACAAAAATCCATCCATCCATTAAAACTTTCGATTTTTTTTATTAGTACACATGATGTATTTGCGTAGATCATAACAAAAAACCCATTTTTTTATTTTTGTCTCTGTGTGTCTTTCTATGTCTGTTCGCAAAACCGCTATTGTTTACATTATGATGTACTTTTTCTTCGTTGATGAAGTCGCGGGCTACCACTAGTCAATAAATAAAAAAGGTACAAAGATAATTAAATTTTGGCTGTACGAATCTAGCTATTGCTTTTTATTATTAAAACTTCCTTCTGTCAATTGATAGCAAAGCATTTTGACATTAATTAAAAAGTATAATGTGGTCTCTAAATAATGTAAATAAAATTGTTGTGTCTTAAATAATAAACGCTGTAGGAATTGTAATATATTTTTCGGTTTAATATTTGTGTACGGAAATCATCGGTTATTGCTTATCTTATTGTTTGGGTATTATGTTATGCCTAAAGCTTGTTTACTTATTTTACAAAATGCTTGGATATTATAAATTGGTATGGATAAATTATATTAATATTACTAGCCGCCACCCGTGACTTCATCCGTGCGGAATTAAAAAACTTTAAACTGTTTTTCCAGTCTATGTTCTACATCTATTACAAATTTCAAAAAGATCCACGCAGCCGTTGTGGAGATACCTTCTAACAAAGGTCCATCCATCCATTTGCATTAATAATATTATTATAGTAAGAAGTATCATTTTAGTTAAGATGTTGGCAAACGTAGAAGATTTTATAGTTTACGTCTATTATGGACTTCTGTAGTCGAAACGGCTTATCCAATAAATGGTCTTGTGCGAAATCGTAAGTCCTTACTTACGACTATCCTTATAAAGGCAAAAGAGTGTGTGATCGGCTTTACTTGTCTGCGACAAAAAAAAATAACTTCACGAAGCAAGGAAAAGGTTTTTTAAGTTTAAAATGTAGTGTTAGAGTAATATTGTCGACATCTTCTTTTGCGATAAAAATCCTTTGCGAGTTTGTTTGGTGTACTATCCGTTGTTGTCCGACATTGAAATCTCCTTAAAAAAAATATCGTCATCCCTCCTATTATCTTCACAAAAGAGATAACAATATGTATTAAATGGTGCTTTTAGTCGTCAGTTCACTTTGATATGCGGAAATCGAGGTGCAATTTTATTACAAATCGAATAGGTATTCATGAAACAATGTTCGGAAGACGATTAAGGTGTAACCTGAAAATTGATAGACCGGGAAACCTAATAAGCGGACTGTAACACGTGCCTATTGAGGCCAATGTGACAGGAATTGAGGGCAGCTCACTTGTATAGCTTTGATGACCGCCCTCACTTACACTTTAAAACTCACGACTCATATTTTAGGGCGGTACTAACTATACAATTTCTTTTTAATACTTCCAAAATTCTTATTCTGGAAGAATTCTATATATAATATCTAAGTGTAAAAAAATTACTCCCTAAAAATGATAGATTTGTAATGCATTTAAGAGAAATTAAAAAGGTTTTCGTTGGGTTGTTTTATAAGCGACTACCTGACTAAAAACACAAATATAAAACACTAGACGCGCCTTTGTCCGCGCGGTGTAAAAAAAAGAGTAATAAATATGTCACTTTGTAGAATGTAACAATGTTACTTCTTACTAATATTATAAATGCGAATGTTTAGATGGATGATTGTTTAAAGGTATCCAGTATGGCTGAATATCTTGTATGAAACATTATTTTAAATATGACATTACTAGCTGTCGCCCGTGACTTCGTCAGCGCGGAATTAAAAAAAAAACTTAATTAGTAGCCTATGGGTTATACCAAACTTTGTTATACATTCATGCCAAATTACATCGAGATTCTTTGAGTCGTTCTGGAGATTCCTTCAAACAAACATCCACACCATCTATCTAAACATTCGCATTTATAATATTAGTAAGATTCAGTAGTATATCAATGGCATCGACTATTTTTACTCATCAATCATAGAATGAGTTCAATGGCGGCTTGTTACGTTATAAGTAACATACTTACAAGCCGACATTTACGATAACGGCATCCCCCTTATCGTAATAAAAATGTATTTCAGATTTGCTCAACTATTTTTATTTTTTATTTTTAAGATTTCAGATTGGTATTCACAGCTCTGATTGTTGACTGTTAATTTTAAATTGGTTTGAAATTCGATTTTTAAAAATTAAAAATATATCAGTTGCTCTGATTACACTGCCCCGTAAAGAACATGAAAATAATATTTCAAAGTTGAATCCCCCGCTACGTAAATGTAAACAGACATGAAACTATAAAGTGACTATGTATAGCTTGTATTATTGTCACATTTGATAAGAATATTATACAGTTATATTTCCTCTTCTCGATATTGAAAAGTTTTTTTTTTTAAATCATAAGTCTTGTTTAAGGTTAGAAGCGTGAGGTAAGCGAGTCAATCGTTCGATTAATTACTTTTTTTCTTTCTTGCGTTATGATGAAATTTTCAGTCAAGTACTGAATGCACTAGATAACGTCTTCCCAATTCGTACGACCCTATTATTAGTTCAGTCGGTGTCGGGATCCCACGCAGTTCGGTCGTCTGCGTTTTCTAATAAGTTTACAATGTCCCCAATAATGAATTATTAACGCGATTTGAAATAATATAAAATGTACATTTAAAAATCGGAGATAAAACTATTGAAGTCTTTTGCCGATTTATTTCATATATAGTGGGTACAAAACAAAGTCTTTTAAAGACATAGAAAAGATTTTTTAAATAAAAAATAATTAGTAATAGAATAGTTAATCTGCCTGTTTTGTTCATGATATATGGAACGTTGTGTTTATATCTTTTAATAACATAGCAAAAAGTTGCTTCTAGAAAAAAGGTTTTTTTGGTATTGGAATATAGATTAATATTATAATTATATAATAAAATATATAGAAATGGGGAATATAACAGCGCAGATAAAAAGTGTTACTGACCCAGAAAGTGTTGCAAGAAAAAAAACAGAAGCAACTTTCGAGGATGCAGTTGAATTGACAGGTATTTTTTTGATTTTTTTTATGTAATATTAATTATTCTGTTAAAAATTTGTTTATTATCACGTATATACAAGTGTTTTGTGAGTGTTATTTTTATTAATTTAGAGTTTGTTTTTTTCGTGCATATTTTTCGTAACTTTAATTTGTGTTGTTTTTGTTGTAATTTATTAATTTCATTTTTCATATGTATTTACGTGTTTTTGTTTATTTGATAAATAATCGCTTTATTATTTGTATTTTTTTCATGTTAATAAAATATTTGATGAAATTGATTTTAGCAATAACTAAATTAGTTTGAAAGTAATTTTACCTTATAGAGCCAGCCCTTAAAATAGTTATTGTCATGTAATAAATAGAATTTAAAATAAGTTATAATTTAGAAGGTATCGGAGAATTAATCCAAAGATAAGGTTCATACTATAAAAGCAGTACTCTCTGGCCGCAAGCATAATTGTTAATTAGTTACTTAAACAATCGCTTAGTCTATACGTATAATGATTAGTGACTTATATAACAAAGGCATCTAAAATTACTCATGCATTCAAAATTTTGTCTTTATCGGTTGAAGATATTTGCTGAAAAATTGAGTTGCAAAATTCCGCGAAATTTGATGCATACGTAATAGGTTAAATAAAAGCTTATATTATGTCCGATATGTGAGACCATTTTTTTGACATTGACAGGAGGCTACAATTTTAAGGGTTACCAGTGGGAATAAATTTCCTTACTTCTTCCGAATGTCCTCTATGAACCTACTCGAAGGAATTTATTTGCAACTTATGAGCTGAGTTCTCGTAGTAATTCCTTACTATTTAAATTAATACATCCAAACACACAGTAAAGGTTATAATATCATACCAGATATTTTTATGCAATTTTGAAATTACGAAAATGGCAACATTAAACTGTGCAAGTGTCGCTCGCACATTCGTCTAAATATGACGCTGTCAAAATTGCATTGTTCAAAAAATTCTAGCTGCCGTTACATAGTTGAATTTTGATCTATTTGTCCGATAGGATCTATTTAATTCACTACAATAGTTATATTTAATAGTAACTCTAAAGAAGATAAGAAACTGACAGCGATTAAAATTGTTTTTCTTTTTTTATTTGTTCTCTTGATATTAATTTATTTATTTTCTTAATACTCATGTTGGTATTTAAAAAAAACAAATGTCTTTAGCAAACACGTAATTACTCTACTAAATGTTTTCTTTTTATCTCATTTATTGTATACTAATGCAATAAGGAACAAAGAATTCGTATTTATATTGAATCACTCAATATTTACAATACTTTCATCATAAACAGAAAAAAAACAAAGAGCAGTAAAATTATATACATCATTAAATTCAACAACTGTTTTATTGCTTATGTACTCAAGACAAGACATTAAATAGATAAATTGTAGTATTGAAATTCTTTCCTTCTAGTTAGCGTAAAAACAGTTAACGTAAATATATTGTTAACGTATCTACCTGAGCAAAGTCAGGGCGGATATTTTGTAGACCATCGGGGTTACAAAGTGCATTCGCTTTGAAGCGCTTCCATAACGAACTTCAAAAAATTATAGATCTGACAGGCAACAATCACGTGACTTATCGAAAGTTACTGTCAATCAGTCAGTTTGGATGGATGGATGGTGAAGGAATCTCGAGAACGGCTAGACGTAGAACGTAGTATTGAAGAACACATAGTCTATTATTTAAGATTTTTTAAATTTTTAATACCGCGCGGACGGAGTCGCGTGCGACAGCTAGTTCTATTTATTTTTGAAGTTCCTTATGGAATCGCTACGAAGATAATGCACTTTGTCTAACCTCGCAGGGGTGGCCAACCACTTGATCGCAACTATTAATCCAATCGATCATAGCGAGGGAAAAAATATAAATACGTCAAATATAATGGAATAGGAGATGCTCAGACACAATACTCAATATAAATTCATTCATTAAAAATAATTGTTTGCAATTAACCTTTTAATAAATATAATAACTTTGTTTTCATTGTAAGATTTCCAGAAGTTTATAATTAGTTTGGCGAAGAGTTTTGTTAGTAAACAATAGATAAGTCTCATCAAGTTGGTTACCTCTGTCGTAGACAAATAAATGTCCTTGAATTTCAGCGCAAAAACTTAGGGAACTTTCGAATGGGGCGCACATGTGATTTTGTGTAAAAATGAAGAGCTAAGCTTTAATGAGCAGCGCCATCGTATACGGCAATCGATAATTATTTCGACTCCAAGAATATTTTAAGTAACATTCTGATTTCTCCGATCCAAACATTCGCATTTTAATATGAGTAATATCATCACTGTTATTCGAATCCCGATTTGTTTTTAAATTGTAATAAATTTGAAGGTTTATGTTTTTAATAGAAACATAGTAATTAGTGATAATAAATATATTTTTTTCATTTATAATTTCGCGCAAATCGTCAAAGGAAATAGAAGGAATTTTTTTTAATAATTAATATAAAGCAATCAACTCGTAGAAATGACAATACTTAGTTAATAAGCTTAAACAGTTTAACATGAATAAGTACAATGTCTTTCAATTTATATCAGAAGTATCATAATTAACAGTTAAGGTTGTTTATTACCTACTCAATACGGCGAAATATCATTTGACAATTATTACGCAATAAGGTTGAAAATTCATCGTAGCAACATACATGTGTGTTAAAATATAGATCTTATGGTAACAATTTGCTGTTCGATATTCGACTTTAAGTGGGAAATTAATTTTAATGTACATTCAGACAATTTTATCAGTTTTTTTTGTACGCAGGTCACGGCAAATTCAATAACTTCGTGCTGTTAACATGCGGTCTGATCCTCCTGAACGTGTCAATGGAATCCGTGGGCATCAGCTACGTCATCACGGCCGCGGAATGCGAGCTGGACCTCGGCAGTGAGCATAAAGGACTCCTTAGCGCGTCAGCTTTTATTGGTGAGCTTTGCAACTAGCAACAGATATTTTCTCACAGATTTTAATCGTTTTACGATCAATCGGCCCAATACTTTTTTCATTGGGCCGATTGAGTATAGAATAAATAAATTCTGATTAGTTCTATATATTCAATCAGGAACCAAAGTAAAACTCGCATGGATCAATTGTTCGATAGGACAATCGGCCCAACGGCAAACATCCTATACCAATACTGTCAAAGCTCCATGTCTTAATTGTGCGAACATATTCAAATGCACCGGCTTGTTTTGAAACATATTGTTGTCCCTGTTCTTTAAAAGAGAATGAAAGGGATAAATGTGTACAACTGTATACGAGTAGGAACATGTATTATACAACAAACAAAAAAGATTTAATACAAAGGACATGTGATGCTTTTAGATTAATTAGGATTTAAAAATCTCTTGACTACGATATGATCTGATGTTACAAGTCATTTTTTAGTGTTAGCATTGACCTTGAAGTTATCTTCGTCATAACTTTAACACGCACTAAATCTGACTTTTTCACGTATCCTTGATAAGTGAAAACCTGTTAAAATTATGCTTATTATATTTCATGAATACATTTACGTCAGTAATCATGTTGACATTATTATCTTAATAATTTTAAAACATTTCAATGCTTGAAAAAAAAAGACATAGTTAATTTATGTTTACTGTTAAAAGGAATTAATTATTTGAATTATCGTTTAAAAATAACAAATATTATTTTAAAATTAATTTAATATTTTATATTTTTTTAATTCTATTCATATTAACAATGTATGTCGTATTAGGGCCTGTTTTCACTTGCCTAAGACGCGACTCTTTTTTGTATCGTGGCTGTATTTAAACCGAAAAAGACACACAATGATCGCGCGGTTAAACTCTTAGTGGAAATAAGCATTTATTGTGCCTCAGTAATTATGAACTGAATAGACGTGGAAGGACTGTATCCTCATATTTGTGGATTTCATTCCTAAAACGATAATAATTGTTATTTGTTTATACTGTAATTATTATCTGATAAGATTTTTAATGAACTTGCAAATGTAACGTAAACATATTAACCTAATTATGAGTTAATATAATTCATTAATTACTATTTGACACCAGCATGCGCAATGCAAATAACATCAAATCTATTTAATATGTAGTTAATTATTTTGTAACAAAGGAAAAAAAAATTATAAAGTAAAACTTGAGACAACAAAAGAAATAAAATAATAGAGCCACGATTTAATACATATCTTTGAATTTCTTCCCACAAATGAGCAAGCTGCATCACGATGTTTTCCTTGACTGCATGAAATTCAAAAGCCGGTAAACACATCAATGTGTGATGATTAAAAGCAATCGTATATTTACATTATGTTACTTGTTTTAAAGTTTATAATGTGTTATCCAGGTATAGTCAGCACGTCGTTCCTGTGGGGTTTCTTAGGCGACCGGTATGGGCGGCGCGCGGTGATGACGCCCGCCATGCTAGCCTCCGTCGCTTTCTCACTCGCATCTTCCTTTGCCACCAATGTCTGGACTATACTGGTGCTCAGGATATTGACTGGATGTCTGTAAGTATGCCATATAATGTCATCCAACAAGAGGCATCAAGGGATGCGATCCCTTCACATACTTGAACCAGAGAGCCCAGCTGGCACTCGTCTGTGCGGACATGAGTTCACAGCTTACCACAAGATGCCATAAAGTGTTTTTATTATGTATATTTTATTTCTAAAAATATAAATATAAAAAGCTTGATCTTAATCTCTGATAAAAGAGCTTTCGGTTATTATAAAATGAATAGGTACAGTCGAAGCCGTTTGTAACGAAATTAAAGTGGATCTCCGATTTATTGTTGGTTTCTGATCTCCGTATAAAACATATTGTACATACGATGACGATATGTTTTAAATTTTTGATCTCGGAAACCTACGATTACTCGCCATAATCGATGTTTTTATTGTTGCAGTGTATCAGCGTCCAGTGCTACAGTGTACGCGTACCTGGGCGAGATGCACGTGAAGTCCCGCCGCGCAGCCGCCATCGCCTGGGGCTCCGCCTTCATATCTTTCTCCTTCATTATACTGCCAGGTAACTGTACCGAATACCTTGTTTACCTGTAACTCACCGAAACAGGCATACATCGGAATTGTTATCGAACAAATTGACACTGCAAACCGATGCTGTTTGCCGTCTATCGTGTTCAGCGAAAACTTTACAGTAAATCGAAGCTTTTGAATTTGTTATTTTGACTTTTGTCGCGTAAATAAAAGTCAAGTATGTTCTTGTGTAAATACACAAAAAAAAAATTCAACACAAATTCAAAGTCTGTGGTTGCTAATTAAATATTTTATTTAACAACAGACTCATTCTTTTAAGAAATATAACAAAACATTCATATTAATTAAATTGAAACACGTACAGTCAAAGCCAATCGCGGTGTTCTTCTTGCGAAGTCCTGTCTAAATTGTGAGTTGCGGAAACGAAATCATAATACACAGACACATTTAAATGCTTCATCCGTCATAAAACTCAATAACTCAATACTTAAGCAACGACTGTCGCATTAAAAGCCTCGCTATTAAACCATAAATTAATGTCGTATACGGACATATTCCCTGATAGTACGTTTGTAATGTTCAATATGTAATGCACAATATAAATAATTATCATAATTTTACTAAATATTGTGACAATGTTGAATTGAAATTTAATTAAATTTCAATAAGGAAATGCGTCAAGGATTGGAACAGATTTTTTTCTCTTAATACAATATTATCTTTCCGCTTTCATTATAATATGTGTTTATTTTGTTTTATACTGCATAATTACTACTTAATAAATTAATTATTAATACTTGTCCTGTCTAAAAAATATCTCTAAATATAATATTGCATATTAACGATTCTGCTAGGAAATGGTACACGGAATTAGACGCAAATAAAACTTAACTTTTTAAATAATTTATTCATCGTTTTTAATTATTTATTTATAGTAACATTAGATATAAAAGTCCACTATTAAAAGTTGATTAATTGGCATACGATTTGCATTCCAAATTATGCGATTCCAATAACAGTATGCACGAATCATATCACCGCTACGACTTAGGGTTCTTCAAGAAGCGAGCTTATCACTATCTCAAAGGCCGGCAACGCATCCGCGGTTGCTCTGGTATTGCTGATGTCCATGGGCGTCGTTGAACACCTCGGTGTTAACGCTGCTCGTTTGCCCCCTTCAGTTATAAAAAAATATATATTATGACGTCATAGCTCACAAATCGGAAATACTGACGGACACACAGACAAAAATTTTTAACATTGGTATTTCGTAATGTTTACGAAATATGGTTTTTTACGAATATAATATAGAGACAATCCAATTTTATAAATCGTATAGATATAGTTATAATAGATAAAACAAATTAAAGGCTCATAAATCAATCACACCGAAATGCTTAGGATCCGACAAGGAAGGACATAGTAAGTTTATATGTTAATTCATTCATTATTGCAAGTATAATGATATATAATTATATTTATGAATAACAATTTGTTAAAATAACCGTTTAGTCTATGACTGGGTCGCGCGATATTGATAATGCTTGAATAGTGTGCCGTGACGTCACTAATACTATGAGGGTTCATGATATAGATAACCCCCTGACCACAGACTTAGTTGTATAACTTCGAAAACAGATTATAAAGATTTCTTAATAGTTAATTATTTGTTTTTATTTTTTTATTTAAAAATTATAATTACACGATAGTTAAATCGAGTTGGATCTATCGATATGTGATCCGGATGTCCGTATCCATCATTGGGCTAATATATTTTGTTGAATCAGGTCTCGCGTGGCTGATCATCCCGGGCGAGTGGTCGTGGCAGTGGGGCTGGATGACGATAGCTCCATGGCGGGTGTTTATGTGGTTCTGGGGTTTGCCGGCGCTCGTGGCTAGTGCGGCGCTGTTGTCACTGCCGGAGTCGCCGCGACACGTCCTCGCCACCAAGGGCCCTGACGCCGCACTACCCATCCTGGCCCGTATGTACGCCTGGAACAAAGGCAAGACTGTCGACTCGTTCCCTGTAAGTCTGAAGTATTGTAAACTTTATGTTTCAATCAGTCAATAAGTAAACAAGTTAAATGTAATTTTATGTATGCCCCAAGTTTACTTTGGATGAAAAGAAAAAAATCAAAAACTACCTTTGTTACTTTAACAAAAGAAAATGTTACGTTAACACCCCCCTTACATAATACGCCTAGACAACGCCAGGCAAAGACACAATGCACATGAAAAAAGAGACAGTTTAGAACCACCTTATTTTTCGAATGTGGGTTGAAAAATGTAGTCATGGATGGAATGTTTTGAATGAACATTGTATTGTTATAGGTGAGTAAGATCACAGCGAGTACGACTGAGTCATGTCGCAGCGGGTTCGGGGAGGCGCTGCGTAACATCTCCCTCATGGTGCGGCCGCCGCTGGCGCGTTGCGTGCTTATCTCACACGTCTCCATGTTCGCCGTCTTCATGCTGTGAGTGATGCCATACTAGCTAGCTTACATAAACAAAACCTTCCCATCAAACATGTTGGGTCTCGCTGCGCAATGTCATTTTGTTATATCTCTTTGAAATATACCAAAACGTGTTATTTTTGTTGTGTGGGAAGTGAAATAATGACATGTTTTATTTATATGTTGAGCAGTGCAAACTCGCTGGTACAAACTATTTGATAAATACTGACCTTAAAACTCTGTTCGTCTACGTAAATAGAAATAGAATGTTTCAAATAATAATCCGTTAAATTAAATAATTACGTTTTTATTAAACTATTTATAAATAAAATGCAACTTTATTAGGTATTAATTTAAAATAATGATGCATTTTTTTTGGTATTAACGTCTATTTTAATTAAACAAACAAGGTGACAAACAACACAGGACCAGTACGAGGACGCTTACCCTACAAGTGTTACAAAAACTAATAATATTGTCACCTCGACAATACCTTAAAAATTAAAATTAATAGTTATCCTGTTAATAAAGCATTACAGAAAAACTTAATGGACGTTAATTTCTTACTATAATTATTAATAGTATCATTTGATTGAGGTAAACATTTTATTAAGGTCGTTTTAATGAAAAACATTGCGGTAGCCCCGGCTGTGGCTTTGCATTATGAGAGTGCAAGAGTTGTTTTTTTTTGTATATTATAATTTACACATGAATTCGCCTAAATGGCGAAGCGACCGCTGCTCATAGGCATCCACAATTGCACAAGCACAGCCATAGCATATGCGTAACAACCTTTATATTCGATGGAGGGCGCACTGAAAGAGAATTTAAAGTTTTAAGTTGTACGAGTTCTTAATTTTGTTGTTTTTATTGTTTTCAGATCGAGTGGTCTATACATGTGGGTGCCGGACATCCTCAACAACATTTTAAACAGCAAGAGCGAGCAAAGTATCACGATATGTCAAATTATACACAACAAGTTTAAAGCCGCACAGAACGTCACGGTATGTACTCTTATAAAAATATCTTATTCTTGAGTGCTCTGGTTAGATTTAGATATCAAAGAAACTGATAGAACATTCTACGAACGTTTCAGACTGGTTTTAATGTCATTATTGTTAGGTTTTGTCAGGCCACTGCTGGAAATAGGTATTTTCAAAGCCTCCCACATTAGGATCCCTTTAGATAGATCAGTCCGGCGGACGGAGCTGTTCTTTTCGCATCCGGTTGGCATCTCTTACTGTTTCACACCAACAGATTACTCTGGCTCTTAATAAAAAGACGTGGAAAGTAAAATTAGTTCGTGTGTCAATGGAATAAGGCTTAATTTTATTTGCGATCTCTCAAAAATCTCATCTCCCCGGTCTGTGTAAACGAACCCTTATGCGGCATTCCGCTTTTTGTAACGGAAGTGGCTTCTCGTCATTTTATATTGCGCTTAAATTACTACAATTTTATAATACAAATAGTAACACAAATAACATCTTTAAGGTAATAATTATGACAACTTAATTGTTAATAATAGCATTTACTTTTTGTTTACGATTTGTCAATACGATTTAAACGCGATTAGCAAAAGACTGAAGATCACGCGATACTTCTTTGAATGAAGTTGCTTCAAAGATTTTACTATCATTTCACTGTTTAAGCCTGTCACACACGAACCTATGTCTTGCTATAATATATGTTATAGTAAACTATACATGGAGACGTTGCTTTAATATATATTTTGCCTTCATTCCATTGATAGTCGGTCTAGCATGTTTATATATTAAGTAGGTTAGCCCGCGACTACATCTGCGCCGAATTAAAATAAAACTTCAGCCTATGGGTACTTCCAGGTACTATGTTCTACGTCTGTGCCGAATTTCATCAAGATCCGTTCAGCCTTTCCGGAGATACCTTCTAACAAACATCTATCCATCTCAACTTTCGCATTTATATTATTAGTAAGATATAGACGATAATCTTAATTACGGTATAATTTAGTGACGTCATAGAAATGTATAATATAGCTGTTTGTGCGGTCAGTAAAATTTTTATAAAGAAAATATATCGTAATATGCCTTGCTATAATTTATATTAATATATTTATTATGGGTACGTGTGTGACGGTCTTTATTGTAGGAATTATGCGTCAGTTGTGCACTTCTCCGTATTGTGTCGTTGGCATAGTTTTTGTAATTGGTGTTTTTACGTGTACGATACGATGCAGTTCTGAGAAACTAGTTCGTTAGTAGTAATGGGTCATTTAGACCTTTGTGTTTGTCAAATTTACCGCAATATCAAGTAATAACTAAGAATAGCAATCAAAATTGTCTTAAATATTGTTTGAATTTAAACGCTATTTCCTTGCTTTTTTATTAATAAATTAAATCCCCCATATCCTTTTCTTATAAGGAGAGTATGGGGAGTGGATTTGACGGAAGAGGGATGCATAGGAAGAGGGAATATTTTTGTAAATCTTATCAAAAGAAACATCATTTTTCCATATGACCCTTCATTCTTCCGCAACCTTTTCACTTAGTACCCTTCGCCCCCATTATTCCTCTTCGTCTTCCGTCTGTCACCGCTCTTGTTGCAATTATCTACTGTTACAGCACGATGCAGGATACCACTACTGCCGCACTGACGTGTCAGTTGGCGTGTTCCCCATCTCAATGGGCATGGGCGCCATGTTCGCTATCGTCTACCTCGCTATTGGGTTCTTCATTGATAAAATAGGCAAGAAGACGCTTCACTGTGAGTATTGGCATATGTTAAGTTCAACTGCGTCTTTTTAGTTAAAGGGATGGCAATACGTATCCAAATTTCCCGCCAGTGGAATTGTACGATTATAAAAGAACAGAAGTTATCAGCTTTATTTATTGTTAAGTAAGAAGGGCCATCGGTTGTCTAGTTTTTATCTAATAAAAAATATATCTGTTCGGCTATCTATTATTCCCAGCAAATAAATAAATATCGCCGGTTCTTTCGCTGTTATTATAACTTTGGCTTTTATACAAATAGAAATTTAAATGCTAAAATGATGCTCAAATTGAATCGTAAACGATGAATCTTTTTATAAAAAGTGTCGGTTTAATTCTATTTACATACTGGCAGGATACATCGATTTGTCGACATCATTATATAGAAAATAAAAAAACTTGATTTTAAATATGATTTAATTTTATTGGAATTTGTATTAATTGTATTGCAGGCAGTATATTGATATTCTGCGGCGCGGCGACGATAGGCGCTGCGTTTGTACCGCAAGGTGGTCTGGCCACCGTTCTGCTCGTGTTGTCTCTGTGCTGCGGCTGCGCGGGATCCATCCTTGCCGCCATCGCTGTAGATGTCTTCCCGACGTGTCTCAGGTGTCTACATACATCATACCATGTCTACTGACAACTGTTGCTTAAAAGTGGACTCTATGATAAATCTACCTTAGGGAGGCATCATCATTAAGCGATTAAGTGACTTAGGGTGGAATTCCACTGTACACTAGTACAAAAATTTGAGAGTTGAAAATGAGAAATGAAAATATGTTTTTGTAGTGGAAACCTAAGATATTTGACCGCTAAACTCTTTGATGTAAGATAACTTCAATGAGGATAATTGAACTCGGTGGGATTTGTCGTGTTTTTAATTTTCTTTACTTAGTAATGATCAAGGCTGGATCATTTATTATAAAACGATCGTTTGTTTTAACTAAAAAAAACACAATAAGGCAATAACTGTGGACATAATTGTAATTGTTGAAAAAAAGCTGAAATAGTTGCGATATTTTTTAAAAAGTAATAAAATATGAATATGAGTATTCTGATACAGAAAACCCACACTATTGAACGAAATAAATGTTTTCCATCGTCTATGTATAATTAGAAGGCAAAACCTCTGATATCCGGGTAGGTTGCTTTGCTATTGCTTGGAAATGACAGCTTTGGCATCGCTCTGACATTAAATACTATATTAAAAATGCGAATCCTAAACACCGCTATCAATCGCAAGCGTCAGCGTCACTAGTCACAAATTATTACGGTTATAGCCTGTCCATGTATAGAGGTCAGTGGTACCAGGCATTCAGAAGTATAAGTAGGTAACTGTGTTCCAGGGCAATGGCGATGTGTCTGATGTACATGGTGGGTCGCGCGGGCGCGGCTGTCGGCTCCAACCTGCTGGGAGCCACGCTGGACCGCCACTGCCAGCTCGCCTTTACCTTCCTAGGCATCTTTACTATGTGTAAGTAATATAACGTCGGGAATCAGACCGTACGTAGCTATAACTTTGTTGCAATCGCAGTGGCATCACTGGAAATAGAATCTGCAAGGCTGTACAAATGGCAGATGGTCTTCCCGGTCGCGTACAAGTATTTGCTTAATGGAAATTGGTACTAACTCTGAAATGTTGATGTGCGACACGCCATACATAACGCTCTCCGCTCGCCTCTTGTGCTTTAGCAATAAGAACGTTTAAGAAGAATTCACATCGAAGTTGACAAGTCAATTAAATACTCGATAAGAGAATCATTTAATTTTTAAATTTTTTCATTATAAAATTTTCCGCAATTCCAGTAATTACTCGATTTGACAAGTAAATCTTTGGTCGATCACTTTAAATTGACATTTAAATGTTAAATAATAGATGGCGCTTCTAAAAATACTCAAACGTAATATTTTTTATCCATTTTTTCAGGTTCAACAATATTAATGTTGTTTTGGCCCGCACCGGAGCACGTCCGACGCAAAATGGAAGAAAAGGGTTTAAGTTACTAGGAAATTTGTGTAAACGAGACTGATCGGTTAAAGAATAAATGTTAATGTTTACGTTAGTTCTTAATGTATGCTGCATGTATGTTTAAATACAAGAATTTTATTCATTTTAATTATAGTTTTATTAAAAATCTCACATGTGGAATGGAACAAAACAGAGACGCATCTATTGGTGCCTTATTGAGAATTGTTACAGCGCCATCTGTTGCATTATATAAGATTTACTTCAGTGGTCTGTCGATGTTAAAGTACTAATGTGCCAATAGATGTCTCTGTATCGACGAATTTAGCTTAAAAACGTTGTCTTTACAAAATTTATAGATTTTTTTTATTAAGTAAACAAATACTAATGAAAGGCAAATATTAAAATTATTCAATTGCATGAGCATTGTGTTTCAGGTGTGAAAAACTTTGATATTTTTTTCAAACTAGTATGACTTTTTACTCGAAAAATCATCGAAATACGGTTCCTAGTTATTTTTCGATTTGGATAATTTGAAATATACAACAGTTAAAACATGTGTTATACATTGCACAAAAAACTACCCTAAGGGTGTCAAAAGGGTTAGTAGGTGACAAATGTCCTTGTCATTATTTATCCATCAACTTAATGTTCTTCCAATTGTGATACGCGATATTATAACCCGTTATCCGTTAGTTTCCACTGACGTAGTACTTGTATAAAAATGACATCCCTTTCATTTCCCTTGTATAAATTGAGATAACAATATGCTGGTACGAATGACGTCGGTCTTGTTATTTAAAGCTTACGTATTCGTTCACACACATCGGAGCAGAGAGCAATATCAACAATTTTAGCGTTTAGCAGATATTCTTTATTTGAAACGTATATTAGCTTTCTATTTGGAGAATTTCTTCACCTACAATCGACTGCTTATACTTCTAAGAAAAGTTAGTTCTTGCTAATATTATAAATGCGAAATTTTAGATGGATGGATGATTGTTTGAAGGTATCTCCAGAATGATTACATGGATCTCGCTTAAATTTGGCATCGATGTAGAACACAGTCTGGAAGAACACATAGGCTAGTAATTATGTTTGTTTTTAATTCCGCGCGGAAGGAGATGCAGGCGACAGTTATTTAAAAATAAACCTTATGCGACAATTATTTATTTGTAATTAGCCGACATTTATTACTTAAATCTTTAAGAATTGTCTCATTATTTTAAAATCACTACATCCCGATTACGGAACGTAAAAAAATTTAAAGTGTTCGTGATAAATATTTTATGACAAAATAATAGCGGTCCCTAGTATCTTAGAAGAAAAGGGCAAATTGTTTGAAAAAAACTTTGGATTTGAACCCAGGTAGACGCGGGGAGAGGTCCCGACTGAGCCGTCACCACTTATTAAGACGGACAATGATACTTTGAAATTCATATTTGAACTACGCAATAAACATCTTCGAAAGAAAATATTCTTAAAATTTAAAAGAAGATAACTATCTTATTACTGGCCAGTATATACGATTATACTGGCCAGTAATAACTGTTATGTTAGTAAATTAAAAAAAAAACTACATACCTCCATACATTTCCAATTAATTTGATTTCACTTTGTAAACGTAATAGATTGATAAAGTTTCTAGAACTGGAAATTATATAGAGAGGTTAGTTTATTTTCAAATGAAAATTTAATTTCCTTTTATAGCATCTTCGTGCTTAATTAAAACTTATAATACGACCTTAGAAATATGACTCTTTTCTGATTTTATGTTTACGTATTATTTAACAGTAAAATTAAAAATGTTAAAGCAATGAAAAGTGCTATAAGCTTTATAAAACTGACCACTGTTTGACCCCATTCGGCTGACATCGGTTAGGTTAATTAAAATAACGACACATAACTAACCGCACGACATTAACCTTGTCGGTGCGGTACACCCCATACGTAATACGAGGTCGGGGTCAATCTTCAAAAAATATTATAAATTCTCGAAAAAATAACATATAAAATTGTTAAAAATAAGTTATGTTACTCATTCCTATTGTAATTAAATAACATAATCTGTACCTTACTAATATTATAAATGCGAATTTATGGATTGATGGATGTCTGTTAGAAAGTATCTTCAGAACGGCTGCATGAATCTTGCTAAAATTTGGCATATAAAGATGAACACAATATGGAATGGACTACTTAAGTTTTTTTTTTAATTCCGCGCAAGCGCATTCGCGGGCAACACCTAGCTAGTAAAACATATTCACAATTAATACTGGAGAGAAAATGATTTGTTTTAAAAACTAATTTTGTACGACAATTTTCAGAATAGTCCCCACCGGTCGCTGCGCACGTTAGAGTGCAATATGGCGACCTTGTCCGTTACATCAAAATAAGACATTTTACTGTTAATATGAATGCGTTTATTAGTTATAGAAACATCTGTCCGATTATCATAAATGTATTAAAGTTATAAATAGCTTGCTTCTGAAACTATCAGTTGCTCGCGACTTATTTCGGATAGAATTAAAAAAACTTTAGCTTATAAAGTTTAGCTTTGGATGTATGGATGTTTGTTAGAAGGTATCTGCAGAACGGCTTAACAGACAATGAAATATCGCACAGATAACATATAGGTTACTTATTATGTGATTGTGTAATTCCGCGCGAAGTCACTGGCGATCGCTAGTTTGATAAACTTTTCCTTTTAAACTCACTACCGCATATACTTATATAGTATACATATCAAATGTATAAAAACAATACCACGTGTCGTTCAGGTGGCATGACACGTGGTAACGGACAAGCCATATGCCACAGATCCGCTCGCGCTATACAATTCCGGTGCACCTGAAACCGAGAGATCGTATAAAAAACTACATACATGCGTATGGGTAAAAACATATTGACATCTCGCTCTTAACCTACGGAAATAAAAGAGAACACAATTTAAAATTAGAATACTCTTAACGATTACAGAATCTTTGTGAAAATAAAAACAGCCTATAGTTTTCTTGTCGCAGTTTTTAATGTTGATTCAAAGTTTGTTTGATTAAATAAACTTTATTTTTATCGTTACTTCACATCAGTACATACGTACTAAGTATGAAAAATAAGGTATAGGGTGATGTTTAAGGGTGTAGAAAATATAGCATCTGTTATTTGATAGTATCATATAAAATGTGGCGTCATAAGATCATCGCTATGGTCGGTGGTCATCGCCATTTACATATAAACGGTAAGGCACATGACATCCGTGTACACCTGGACGAAATACCGACACTGACTTTTAAATAATATATACTAGGTGTCGCTCGCGACCCTGTTTGCGGGTTCTGTCACACTATGGTCTATATCTATCATGCTAAATTTCAGCCAGATACATGTAACCGTTCTTGAGATATCTTCTAATAAACGTCCATCCATCCAAACATTCGCATTTATAATATTAGTTACATTTGATAATAATTACACTTTAATTATCGCCAATGTTTCTTTACGGGTTTCATCAATTGAATAAGTTTTTATGGTCAAAAAATACCTAAAAATCACAACCACAGTACTCGAGTTTAGTGAAAGTTGCCGTGGAAGAAATTCGTATAATTTTTTGATGTATTTTATTCTTAAAACATTCTTCCGAGTGTACATTAACGAAAATAATGCGCATACGCATGTAGTACGTAATTGGCTATATATCGTGGGAATCGCGCCACCTGTCCATCAGTGCGTCTTCACCCGCCGTCCCATAAGGCACAGCCATGCACCGTGACCTCAGACCCCGGCTAATTATTATCAAATTTAAATTTGCCGCTTTAATACCATTTCTCCCACGATGACACACGAAAGAAAACAGTAGAATGGACATCTGTTGGAAAAATAAATTCACATACCTTATGTACTAGCGACTCTTAACTCTTTTAAATTATATGCATTTGGAGAAACAAAGTCAACTATAAGCAAAAAAAAAACATTTTGAATTAGTTTGCGAGGGATTACAAAGAGTTTCTTCACATGTAATATACTTTAAACTATAATTCAGATTTCGATATAACGCAATCGATAAAAAACCATAGTAATATAAACATAGGAGACTGATCAAAGATCTTTCAGCTCTTCAATCAATTTTAGGTCGCTACTAAAACACTTCTTTACATCTTAGCATAGTTCCCAGAAGCATAATAAAGTTCAACACTTACTGTTAACTCCCACATCCCACAGGTAATCAGTTCCCGAAGGCAAGGCGCCGCTACCGACACAATAACAGCCTGTAATCGATTAAACAAACATCCGCCGGAATAGCCGTAGCCTTCGCGCCATAAATCATCAATTGGTTATTGGATATGTCATAGATTACATTACTCCAGACTTGCCTTATTGGCAGAAAATTGAGGAACAATTTGTTTGGAGGTGAAGCTTTTGGAATGTCTATCTTTTTGTACTTTATAATCCAGTTCGTTAGTCGTTAGCTCATAAACGTCCTGACAGAAGACACGATTCTAACCTAAATCCTGAGACTAAATTTAGTCAGTGCAGTTTATTGAGTTGAGTCTTAGCTTTGTAAAGAAATAAACTTAAAAAGTTTTCCATCGCTAATAAGTAATTTTGCGGAGACTTACTCAATAGCCAACTTCTTTAAAATTTAACCTTAGCTTACTTATTTCGCCTCGTAAATTTCAAAACAGTGTATCATCTTTTTATCATTTAATCTTTGGTATACTCTCGTTTACTCTTTTCGCCAAACCAATTAAATGTTCCGCCGCTGGTGCTATACTGTGCACCCCAATTTTAGCGCCGCTATAAAACTTTTTTATCTTTACTGCTTATAATGATTTTATTATCTTCAGACATAAGTTCTTAATTTTGATACCAATTCTCAGTACAATTTTCATCGATTAGTTCATAATACTACTTTCCGTTTTTCAAGAATAAAGATTTAAACGCGTTATACATAAGTTTGCAAGTTTAAATAAAAGTCTAGCTCAGTTGGTACTTCCCAAAGTATTCTATTCGTTCTTGTAACAATATTTACTTCCATGATTTCGGAATTAAATTAAAACAATATCTCAAAGTATACTGAACGAAATTTCAATGTTCAGAAATCTTCTTATCTCACTAAATTATTATCCAATCCAATAAAGCAGGGTTACATTA